AAGTAGGTGGCATTGCGTTTTTTATGTGAAACATCTAATGCAACAACTAACAGCAAATTCGTTATCTGACCCTGAAAAGTCAGTCAGCTATGTGATATTATTTGTAATGCGGTGTGGCGACGCGTCGTGATTCTGAATATTATATTTTTAATTGTGCAATATTTATTATTTTCTTTCATAGGCTATTCTTTTATAGCTACTTATTATTTCAACAAAATAATTTCAATGTTTCCTATCTGCCAGAAGTCTGGCGACTGCAGATTTTTTTTTTACCAATTTCAGTTCCGCGCCATTAATAAAAATATCAATTTCTTTTTTAGATGTCGATATTTTAACTTTACATTTATAAGTTTACTTATGTTAAATAAAGCTAGTTTCCAGCCGTGAGTTACCGTTCTCATTTGCTCGGTATACACACCTAATCCAAGAAATATACGTATAAAGTCTGACCTTAAGAAGATTAAAAACCGAAGTAAAATGAGTCTTATATTCGAGGTCTACAATCACTTTGAAAAGGCATGACAACTTACAAGTATTTAGTAGACATAGGATCGTCTATCTCAAAACAAGTTTGCGCACTCTTTAATGCAATCGTTGACCTACTAATGTTAATAATAGCCTTATAAAGGTGAAATAATGTTTTTAATTATTGACCCTATAACCAATGTTTTTTAATAGTGTTATTTACTCAAAGGTGAGTTGTAACATTTTTAGTTCATTTAAAAGTCCAATCCAGGTGCAACTTCTGTGTATCAGAGGTCAAACCTCAGAGTCCGGAGATCATGCTTGGTGATCATTTTGGGAAGTTGTATATATGCTAATCTGCGAGAGAATTCTTCATATCGCGATACAGGATTAGCAATTCTCATTCAGGATTTACTCCGTAGTTTTGTGTGGTCATTAGATGGCGCTGCAGTATGTTTCCGTTTCTTTGTATGTTGGAGTCGCCACACCTACTTTTCCTTATTTATATTTCCTTATTTATGTGTATTTTATTGAACGGTACAGACCAATTACATTAATTAACATGTTAGAATTATTACAATTACAACAAACATAAAATAAAAATTAATTACAATATTTTAGCATTTATAATTTATATATAAAACTACTTCAAAACTAATGGGGTTATATTGAACTCCTAATTTTCCTTATTAAATCTAATTCCTCGTTACATTTAATTTCGTTTGACGGCAGTAAACTTGGCCCCTATTAAGTAAATGAGGTTTCAATTATAGTCAGCAAAATGTGGACGTTTAAAACGCCTTTGCATCCGGTTATACTTATATAAACGTGATTGTGCATCATCATCATAATCATCATCAACAGTCCACTGCTGGACATAGGCCTCTCCTTAGAAAGGAGGTTTTGGCCTAATATACCACGCTGGCAAGATGCGTTGATATAGGGTTTGTTTCAAGTTTTCCTTCTTTTTGCAGTGCTGTTGTCCTGCGTAGTTTGCTCCCTTAGTCGGCTCTTACGACACCCCCCGGATGAATAGGGGTGGTGACATTCCGTATTCTTAATCCGTCACCACACAGGTTGTGCATATATTTTGAATTATTTAAGAAACTATGGTAAACCTAAATATGTAGACTCTAATATAACACTACTATTAACGTGCGTAAGTCCTATTACAAATTATCTGAATCATGTGTTTACTAAAGTATAGCATTTTAACTTGAATAATTTGTACTTGAAAAAAGATAGTTAATTCAATGTGAATATATGAATTTGTTTATGATTCCCGCTGGATATAATTTCATCTAAAGCTCCACATGCGTGTTATCCAATAGAAACGGTATAGATATGTTTTCCAGATCTAACTAGCCTATCACACTCCCTAGTCAGTTCAATCTAAGGTATCTGAACTTACGCTTACCCAGGGTTTACCCGTTTAAAATCAGTGTTTAGAAGTAATAACATACAATTAACCTTAACATTTTTTCTTTTCAGTTGTCAAATCCTGACATAGTATTAAAAAAGAAAACGCGTTGATACGAGAGCTGTCAGCGCGCAGGCGTCGCGATCCAGTCAGCTATTAATTATACCAAATAAAACCGTTATAATGTTTTTAAAATAAATTAATTTTAAGTTCGTAGTCTAATGTAACTGTAGTTTTAATTTACCCTTTTCATTTATTTCATAAGATCTTACTAGTTAATATCTAACTTTTATTCATTTATTTGCCCGATAATAAAGACGCTAGCCCATTATCATGTTCAGCTTTAGCTGGAAGCTCCGAAATCTTCTCATTACAGTAGCCTTTTTTCACCAAGATCATATTCAAAGCGTTTTTTATATTATGTTAAATAAATAGCATCTCTATGAATGTGTGTGTTAACAAAAACAGCGGTTTAATATTATAATATTCCAAAAATGTCCTAAGAAATAATGGAAATTTTGTAACACATATTTCAAATATTGCCTCACCGTGTCGGTTAAAAAGAACCTTTTTATTAGTTTGGTTAGTCTTTGCATGTCTTTATTACTTCATGTGCATATGTTACTAGTGGGTTGACCGCAATTAGTTAATTGTTATGTAAAAATATTATTAACAAACAAAATATTTATGAAGTCACAGCTATTCGATTGCATTTCCCGAGAAGCAGTTGGACATACTTGTGGACTGTTTTACATTCTCTTTTCTCTACTAGGATCTTTTTAACTGATTTAAAAAAAAGAAGAGGTTCTGAATTCGTCGGAAGACATACAACAGTGTCTACAATCTACTATATTCATTAAATAAAGAGAAAGAACGCATTATATTGAAGTGGTACACACTATTCAACCAGTTGACGACCGGATGGCGTAGTGTTTTGGGTAACGGACTGCTGTTCCAAAGGTCGGGGGTTCGATTCCTGCTCAACTCAAACATTCGTGTGCATAAACATTTAATGTTTGCTTTGGTGTGGGTATTGTTTATTGTTTGCTTGGAGTCAGTCCCGCTGACTCAAGCGAGAGGAACTCCAAGGGCGGCAACCCACTTGTGACTTTTGAATTGCAGGTGTCCATAGGCGGCGGTAGTTGCTTACCATCAGGTGACCCGTCCGCTCATTTGCCCCCTTATACCATAAAAAATGTATAATAAGTATCTATTTACACAAAAAAAGTATACATGTATTTATATCAGTTGTCTAGTACCCATAGTACAAGCTCTGCTTAGTTTGGGACTAGATGGCGTTGTGTGGATGTGGTAGAATATTATTATTATAGTTGTGCTTCTAAGCCGTCTCTAAGTACATTATGAAAACTAACTCACTTTTACCTACAGACTTATATTCTACTATTTAATTAAACTTAAGACTTTTAAGACTTGTGTTACACTTATGTAATTAAAAAGAAAATAACAGTAACCTTTCATAACGCCATAAAGCGTAACCGGTCAGGTAAATTAAATAGTGGAATAAGTACAAGTGAATTTGTTTTCATAATTAATTTCAACTAGTTCCAACCAGTGCCGCCAATCGAGAGTATAATTTATATTAGCCTCTAAGGTGTAATCTAAACACTGGAGATTATATTAGAGGGTAAATAGCTTTTTTTTTTTAAAGACAACTCCCGGATTAGGAATATATTCCTGTATGGCGGGGGACTTTATGAACATCCATGAAACGGACACAAAGAACACCCAGACTCAGAACAACAATTTGTTGTTCTGACAATTCTGACAGTTCTGACAAATTGCTGTTCAACGGTGCGGTAACCGCGTATGGCTCTGACCGCCATTACCCTCTGAGGGCGCCAGAGGCGTGCCCTATTCTGGGCGGTCAGAGCCGCCGCCCACACCGGTGCACCATACAGTGCCATTGACTGGACAACCCCCGTGTACAGCCGTCTTGTCGCGACGCTGGGTCCGCCCAAATTGGGCAAAAGTCGCCCTAGGGCAGACGCAGCGCTGGTCGGCGCTGCGTCAGCCCTAGGGCGACTTTTGGAGCAAGCTGTCGGAAACTCGTTGTACTGCCGCAACCCCAGAAGTCTCACAAAGGTTGACGTTGCACTACGCACTGCATGTCAAGTTCAGTTAACTGCTCGTTGAAGTGAAACAAATCACAAATAATTGAATAAAAATAAATAAATAATTAAAACTCACTCATTTCAAACTTATTTTTTTATTTGATTTTACAAAAATAGTATTATATATTAATTATAAACATTGTTTAAATATTTATTGTATACCATAGTTACTATTAAAATCATATATTTATACATACAATATTTTATATTTAGGAATGTAATCTACAAGTACTTATATGTACTGTCAAGATAAATAATTAACAAAAAAACATAATATCATAACATAAAATATTTAATCGTATAAAAAGCTATATATGCGGTAGTAGTTAAGTTACGACCTAAAACAGTGTCAATCAGTTTTTCCAGTAAGCTTAGCTACACCGTTCAGTAAAAATGCTAATCTTTAATTTCTTATGTAAATAATCTCAAAAACCTAACTCACTTGTTACAAAAAAAAGTACCAACCCCTTTTATTATTTTTTGTACTAATCACTATTATTAATATTCTACCTGCGAATACCTGTGAATAGCTTCGTTGTTACTTTACGTTATTTGTGTTTTTGGTATTCCGAACATAATAAAATAAAAATTATGTTAGTACATCGGATTATTTTATTGCATAAAACGAGCGTATTGTAACTAATCTAGAATTAAAAAAAAATTACAACTTGAAAAAATAAAAGGAGAATGCCCAGTTCATATGTATTTTTGTGGGCACGTCCAATATCTTTGCTATTGTAAATAATAATAATTTCAATGATTATTGTATCCAAAATAAAAACAATAAATAAATTCTATTTATAGCAAAATAATCAATAAGCACGTTGAAGTTGGTTGTACTCTATTAACTGATACATTTTTTTAAATTATTGTAATTATGAACCCTATTGTCCATTCACTACAATTCATTTATCTTATTTAGTATTAAATAAAATAAATAAATCCTAAAGAAATTGTACTACGGTTTATCTATGACGGTGTGATCATAACGAGGATGACTGCATTAGTGAAGAAGCGAATATTTGCTGCATTATCTGTGGTAGAGAAGCGACGTCCATGCACACGTGCGCATGGCCTGCTGGCAACCTGCGCAGGAGTCTGAAAAAAATATATATGACAAATTATGATATAAATTTTCAAAAATCATCGGTAGTGTAACTCTCAAGAGACAGACTTGTGATCGAGTCGTTGCTGGTTCATACCCCAGCAGTGCACTACAAAACTGAACTGAACTCCAAAAACAAGCTTTAAGTTTAGTTGCAGAGGTTAGTAAGAATAGTAAAGTGTATAAAAATATCAGACTAAAAATGTATAAATATATGCATATTTTCTTGTGAAGCGAGCAAAGTACGCAATAAAAGCGGATCAAATTTTGAGCATATTTTATTGTTGTAATGATACTCACGTGCTAGCTTCGTCACCCAAGCTGCCAATAAATATCACATGAGCTTGTACTCTAGGATCTGACGTAAGAATTGATCCCAATTCTTCCGGCTGGATGCCATACCTAATAAACAAAAGACAATGTATTGCTTTTCAACAATAAATACTTATTTTTCATTCACTTGTGATTCTGTAAAAGCAGCAGACAAGAACGATGGTCCTTCGGAACTCTTGGATCAAGAAATCAAATCGGATCTCAAGAATACTTTGGTATAGTTATCTTAAATAACTGTAAATGGCGGGAAGTACAGCTCATATCGGTACAAAAGGATTCACAGCTCGTGTCTCTTGGACGCTACAAAAGAGTGGAAACAATATCTTTTTTCTATTTACTGCATAAAATAGATATTGTATCAGGCCTATTTTTCATCACTCTCTAAAAATGTAAATGTTATACATTATTATTATTTACTCCATTTTTTGTTAACTTTCTCTTTTTAAAATATCTTAGAATTGTATTAACACAGAAATATTGTTTATGAGATATTGTAAGTAATACACCTGTAAAAGCATCTCACTTTGCATCTTTTCATATCTGTCCATGAAATTATAAATATTTAGTGATGTGTCGACCTTCGTTTAGTAAATAAATCACTTATTTTTATATTTATTTCTCGATCTTTCAGAGAATAACAAGAGACCATGAAAAAGTCTTGTACGTTTTCTAGTAATACCTCCTAGTCGTGTTCAATATGATACCATAAAGCTGCAGTGCTATTCTCTAAGGAAACAGCCTTGCGTACAGCGCTGCCACAGCGTCGAACTTCCAACTGAGTTCGTCTAATGCTAAACTGTTCAGCTTTAAACTGGCTGGTTTAAAACTACTGCTTAAAGCTGGTTAACCTTTAGGCAGTTTAAGCAGTTACCTGCGAAGGTTAGCGTCGGAGAGCAGCAGCAGTACGGCCTCGTCGCAGTCCTCGGCCGCGAGCGCCGCCAGCGCGTGGCGCGCGGCCGGCAGCGTGTTGTCGCCCGACCAGCAGAACTGCGCGTGCGCGTGCATCGTGCGGATTATCTACCCACACACGAAACTGGTCAAGCTACTAAATTATAACTAATTTACACCTTAAGACACACCTATCTGCTTGTAATTTGCATTACAGTATAGGATTTTCCGTTTATGGAGAGGTTTATTCGACTGCAATTTACGAAGTATTCTTATTAACTATTTATAAATCTACGAGTATGTCCGAGATTCATTCTACAGGTCAAAATCCATTACTAAAAATAAATATTCTTCTTAAAAAAACAGTTTTTTCCACAAAATTTTTGAAAACCTTTTTTCATTACATGTTTTGTATTTTAAAGATTTTTAAAACTTTTTATATCTGAATAGTTTTTTTTGCATTGGTGATTCCAGTAGACTAAAATTAAAAGAAAATACCTATAATGACGTAGAGCCTAGTAGTATATTATTATTCTTGCGAAAGAATAAGATCGCCATTGATTTTGCAAAATCAACAAACTGTAAAACAAATCTTTGAATTAGTGCGTTAAAATGAACCCAAAATAGCCCTAATGCTAGGTATAAAATAACTTACCTAAATCAAATTTCTGAAACTGTTTAATTCTACCAATGATATTTTATCATACCTGCAGTCGCTGCTTCTCATTTTCGGGGGGCCTATCCACTCTGACGAGTTCGAGCGCGTGCTCCTCACCAGAATGTGCGTACATATCATATCGGATCCTTGCTTCGTAGCCTTTCAGAGCTTCAGTCAGAAGAACTACAGCTTCCATAGAACGTTCTAGACGACCGTCGTATGAATTGAACCTAAGAATAGTAAAACAATTATGTATAAGCACATAATACAGGCGCAGAAGACTCACCAGGGATTTCCTTTCTAGGGTATACCTGATTCCCCGGCTATTAGTACCCGAGACGGCGTGCGGTTTTAGTCGGTTCGAGTCCGACATGCCACCGATAGGTGGTATCCGAGGGGATTTCCGCACGGAAAAACAAAAAAAAAGGTGCAGAAGACTCACTTATGCCTTAAGTGAGTCTTCTGCACCTTTTTTTTTGGGAAATTGTCTCTAATGAATTTGCTCATAAAAATACTATGGCAAAGCTCACTTTCCAAACAGACCAAATTTATCAAAATCACTTGCGGCCACTCCTTCACGACACTCGTCCAGACACCGAGCATCGAACTATCCTACAGGTGGTTCCAACTACACACATCAAAACCTACAAGATTTATTTTTCGGGATTTGGGTAACTCCTTTAAAAATGAGATAATAATAATATATTAACCCTACACATATCACACACGGCCATCTGATCCCAAACTGGTCAGGGCCTGTACTATGGTTATGGGACTATTAGTAAACATTCTTGTATATTTCTAAATACATAATATATGTTATAATAATACTATTTTCAGACATCTAACACACAACGCCATCCAGTTTCAAACTAAGCTGAGATTGTACTATGAAAACTAGATTGACTGATAGAATACATATTTACTTTTTTTTGTATCAAATATTTGCAGATCACACAAACATTTGGTCCGACACGGGAATTGAACCCGAGACCACAACACAGCTGGTGCAAACGCTACCACTGCACTAACAAGACAGATATTATTAAATAATCTCACACATCTCACACACGGCCGTCTGATCCAAATATATTTTAAATAAATGATACCCAGACACAGAACAAATGAATAATCGTGCTCATCACACTATTATTTGTCCTGGGTGGGAATCGAACGCACGGCCTCTGGCTTAGTAGATAGGAAAGCTAACCACTAGACCATCCATAGAACCACACAGATCCATAGAAAGATGAAGGTAGAAAGTCATTCCTACCTTCTGATTTTCAAGAAATTTAAAAATTTCCATGTTTTGTTGTCTAAAGCAGATTCATCAATTGAAGTAATAAAACAAATGAAACAAAATATCGAAGTTAACTTAGTCTATTATCTTCCTAATGCATTTCATAAGTAGTATTATTATTACCTGTACATGCTCCCAGACACGTCTAGCACGAGCCTAAGGCGCTTGGGCTTGTCCGGCGGTGCGCCTGGCGGGGGCTCTTGTTCAGTTCGTCGGCGGTATATAGAGCGCTCGCCGGTAATTCCTAAAAAATAGACAACAATATTTATATTTTTTTACCCGAGGCTCCGCTTTTGTATATATCGGTTATCAGTCGGTTATCAGTATCAAAAGTAGCCTATGTCCTTACTCAAGAATCGAAGTCCATATCTCCGCCAAATTTCATTAAAATCAATTCTGTTTACCCGTGAAGGCGTTACAGACAGACAGACAGAGTTACTTTCGCATTTCTAATTTTGTATAGATTTTTTGACTTCCAATAACAATTAAATGAAAATATCAATTTTACTTTTAAGGTCGAAAATAATGGAATTAAGAAGTGAGTTGTTGAGATGTCAGGTTTAGTAAATATGAAGCAAAAATATATTTCAAGGTTGAATGAGTTATTTTTTTATTTATATAACACTTAAAATATATAGGTATTACATAACACTACAGCTTTTTTATACAATAATAATGATAGTATTTGAAATTTTTCTAGTAAATATTTAAGTACCAGTACTTACATTTTTCCTTAAGCACGTTTTAAGTCAAAATTATATAAGTTTGGTTTTCTAACTTTAATTGTTAAATGAAATTTAAAATTACCTTCAATGATTTTTCCGTCATCTAGTTCACCACTAGTCTGATGTCGGCTCCACTGTCTCTCCTTTTTCTTTGCTTGTAATTCTGCTAAAACACCTCGTAGGGCACCAATCTATTGCAAATCATTTTACATTAAAATGTATTTTACGTAAAGAATTTAATTATAATAAGCTTTGTTACTAAGATTAGATCGTGGGAGAGTGATGTGAAATGGGCCGCCTCGACCGGAATGATATCACGGTCTCGCAGAAAACCGCGATTCCCGCCCCCAATACCAAGAATTCTAGGAGGAGGGGCATTCACAGGGTTTGCTACCCTAGTAAAATAGTAAAGTATTACTAAGACTAGCAGATTACCGATTTAATTTTCAGTTACAACACGATATAATCACATTACAGTCAACGTTGGATGTTTAATACTTTACTACGAAAATACCTTTTATGACAGTTGTGAGATCGAAAGTTGATCGGAACTGAATTGAGACCGATCTATTATTACGAGAATTGGCCTTCAGGTGACCCGACTGTTCGTCAGCCCCCTGTATATCATAAAGAAAGACTGAGAAGAAGCTAACCTGCGGTTGCACTGCTCTATAGAACTGTTCATACAGTTTAGCATCATACTCGCTCATGTTGATCTCTTTCAGACGTTCCGCGAAAGCTTTCCTGTTCATTTCGCGAGCAGCCGCCTTCACGTGTTCTGGCACATCATTTTTTTCTGCCTCTGAAAGCTTAAAAAACATATTTTTATATTAAATATTAATTTAGTAGTTTTGATAAACCTGAGCCTGATAATGACGGTGTACGGGTATGAAGAAAATCATAATCATAATCATCAATCATCATCACATCAACAGCCTTTAATAGTCCACTGCTGGACATAGGCCTCTCCTTAGAAAGAAGGTTTTGGCCTACTATACCACGCTGGCCAGGCGGGTTGGTATAGGGTTTGTGTCAAGTTTTCCGTCTTTTTGCAGTGCTGGTGTCCTGCGTTGTTTTGCGCCCTTAGTCGGTTCTTACGACACCCACGGGATTAATTGGGGTAGTGACATTCCGTATTCTTAATCCGTCACTACACGGACATCATAATATGACATTATTAAAAGGAGATTTCATTACTAGTAAAACAAGTACAGTGAGTGAGTGTATGAATCTTTTTGTAGAAGTGGTTGTATGTTCACTTGTTGAAGTAAAAATATGAGGGTAATTGTGTGTGTATTCTACATCCTGCAAAATTGTGGCTTCAGGTGGAGAAGTGTAAGCAGATAATATAGTAAATATGTAATAAAATATCAGTAAAATAGGGCTTGGATAATCTGTATCATACCTGATGCACGTCATGTCCTTTGTCCAATCGATATGGTCCACCCTTACCGCCCAACCCAGCAGTGTCCCGTCCGCCTGTCCCACCGGCCCACGTATTACCACCAACGTGGGGGTCATTCTTAGGGTCTTCCTTACCATGTTTCGGTGAAGATACGTCTTTACTGGAATTAAAATAGGTTTTAAGTTAAAGTGTAAGATTGCTGCCAAATTATTAACAAAGAAAAAAATGCTTAAAGATTCTATGTGAGCCACGGAAATAAATAAATTCCATATCGTAATTTTGCTCGCAAGAATGCTTATAACAACACCGTCGACTCACAACTGAACTCTTTCTAAGTGAATAGGCAATACCCTTTAGTGAAACATTGTCTAAAATGGTCATACTTTCTTTCTAGTGAGTAAAGTATGAGCATATTTTAAACAATGTTTCACCGAACGTTTGATCTTGACTTAAAATGTTTAGACGATAACATTGCAACAACTTTAACCGCTTTAAAGCATTTTAACTGTTTTAAAATTCGAATCAAAGTTTTAAATTATTACGTACCCACTATTTCTCTCAATAGTCATCTGTATCTTCTTAATTGCCTCTTTTGACCGACCCTCTAAAACGCCCTCTATTGGCAGCCCACTGGAATGTAGTACTTCTAACAAAGTATCTGCCATATCCTTACTGTATCGGTCGAAGTCAAATACGTTGCCAATAGCAGTTGCGAGGTCTTCAGTGGGGTATTTCTAAGAGAAAAAGAGTAAAAATATGAATACTTAATGTAATACTTTGTATAAATAGCATGACCAATAGATAATGTTGAAGAAAGAGAAGAAACACAACGTTGAGTAAACCAGAAGTAGAACGAAAAGAATGAGGAAGGCAAGGGTAAAGGCAGAAATAAAAGGTAAAGAGAACCCTTACTCTTTTACCTAAAAGCCTTTTCCCTAAAAGGTTGACAACAAAAACGATTAAAGAAGAGATGAGAGGAGGATGAAATAGGACGTAAGGCCATAGCGTGGAGAGCAAAACAAAAAGAAGAGAAAACGAAAATAAATAACTAGGATAAACAGAAGGTGGACAATAAAAAAACATTTTTTATGAATAACCTCACCTGCAGATGCTTGACAATATTCACTAATTCCCTTGTAGAATAAGGGTACGTGAGCTGTCCTTGATCGGCCTTATCTCTCAAGATAGCAAAGGCTTGCACTAGTTTCTTCATTATGTCCTGGGGCACATCAGGTCCATAAGAACGGAGTAGTTCCATTTCTGAATCAATTGAAGGATTGTCCACAGCGTGGCAGGAGAACAGATCACCTAGAGACATATGTTTGTTTTGTTAGACTCAGTGTTGTATTTTCTTAGTTAACCGATTTAAGACGCAATTTTACTTCCACCTTACACAAAACATGATTAATTAAAGTTATACCACCAGGATCGCTCTAACTAATAAGTCACCCAAACTTACCCTAATTTCATCAATATTGTTTTAAACGTTTAGTTTCCAAAGAAACATTACTATGTTATCATATTCAGCAAAATCCTTTAGTAGTCAACTACTTTACATAGACCTCTCCTTAGAAAGGATAAGGATAGGGTTTGTTTTAAGTTTTCCTTCTCTTTGCAGTGCTGTTGTCCTGCGTAGTTTGCTCCCTTAGTCGGCTCTTACGACACCCACGAGATGAATGGGGTGGTGACACTCCGTATTCTTAATCCGTCACCACATAGATTATTGACACTGATATATTATGGAACTGCATACTGACAGTTGTAGTTTAGGGTTAGAGTGTCTACAAATCGATAGAGAAAATAGTCGATCCACATAATAAAATAATGAATTTACGATCAAACATCGTTAATCGTTTCAAAATATTTATATTTGTGTCTATTCATTTAGTTTCTTTTTGGTCTGGACACGCAAAATGTAAACAATATATACTTACAATTTATATTATATTTTTTCAAAATACTTATTCTCTATACAAATTAACGGGATGAATAGGGATGGTGGCACTGCGTATTTTTAATCCGTCGCCACACGGATCTTTCTATGTTAAATACTTACAAATTTCAGATCAATTTAAATACAACTCACCCAATGAAGCAAAGAAATCATTCCCCAAGAAAGGAAAACCTGGTCTATTCGCCAAAACAATCATTCTGAAATCATCGTGCACAGGAATAAAACTGCTTACATCACCCCCTGAACTCTCTATCATGTTCTTCGGCACGATTCTGCGACCATCACTCAAAATCATTTCACCATTTTCAACCAAAGTTTTCAAGATACACGTCACATGCGTTGGTGCCTTATCAGCTTCGTCAACTACTAATACATGACCATATTTCACGGCTTTTACTAGAGGTGAGTCTTCATATACAACTATTCCATCTTTGACAGTAGGTTGGACAGTCAAGGATTGAACGGTAGTATCTCTGTGCAACTGAATGTACTCCCTAGGACGGTTTAAAAGTTGTAAAAGCCTGTCAGCGATCTTATTCTTCCCAACACCTTGGTTGCCAACTAAAAGTAAATGGTTTCCAAGGAGAAAATCTTGGAGCAACCATTCTAGTAATCGCATGTGCTGTGGCACATCGTAAAATAGAATGTCTGGAACTTTGGTCAAAGCATCAGTCTTGAAGATTTCTGTACTTGTGTTACCGATAGTAAGGATGTTATTTTGGACCGAACAGCTGACTTTAGTCTCTGAAGGATCATTCCCGAATATGCCAAAACGTTTTGTCGGTTCTATACTCAGTTTTTGACTAGCGCCATTCAAAGCCCTCCTGGCTAAATTTGGAAGGAATTTCGCTAAAAATGTTCTTTGGATAGTCTCGTAAGCCGAGTCTGTTGGGTATTTGGACATTCTGCTCGCTATCCGGAGAAGTTGGCGCGTGGAGAGTGATGATGACAAGTTCTTTAATGTGCTGTCTTCTGAGCTTCTTAATTCGTCTGCTAATTCAATTATTGAATGGAGCGGTTTGGATATGTCTCCATACTGAAAATTAATTGCACAATAACATTACGTTTGAATTTTGAGGCCGTGGTCTGCAGTCTGACAAAAGAGAGAATGAGTCGCCGACGCACAACCTTTCATTTTCAGCTTCCTTGAAAATATATTATATTGTAGGTGTGCGATAGTGCAGGTCGACACAGTGCGTGCAATTAGAGTGCAATTAGAGTACTCTCCGATACCTAAAACTACAAAACCATACAAACCAAAGTATTGATAATGAAGATCTCCTCATTCTTGCTCAGATTCCTCATCTCATGGAATATAAATAGACTCAAAATTTCTGGAGACAGCCACTGTTGACCGCGGCCAACTACTGGAGGTTCAGCTAATGCGACTATTCTGTAACAATTGCGCCGTATATTTGCTTATTAACTCAGTGAATCTTAGTTATGAATGAAACCAAAAACATCAAAGAAACTATATAAGGTGTTCTATTTAAGGAACAATTCCAGTTTTTGTATATTTATATTTAGACGAGCAGAAGATTTACCCTCACACTTCAAAATGTACTACAGTAACTTTTTCTCGTATATCTGAAAGCTACCGTTTTAAATTATTAGTTCATCTTAATATATATAAATCTCCTGTCACGATGTTTGTCCGCGATGGACTTCTAAACTACTTAACCGATTTTAAATTAAATCGGCACACCGTGAACAGTCCGGTCCAACTTAAGAGATAGGATAGCTTAGATCTTTAATTATAGTCGCAATTTTATTTTATTGCAAATTATTGGTCTATAATTAATTGACAGTCACAATTATCTGTTAACTCCAAAAGATTCTAACAGATGTCGATACTTTTTGACTGGATTGAGTAAGTAATAAATAGATGGCACTGCTATGGTAAACCGACAAACGTGTCATATAAGCTACAATTCAATATCAAACGCGGATAACACCGCGGGTCTCAGCTAGTATACTTATATGTTTTATTGTATAAACTGACTAAAATGTAAATATTTTTTGCAGGCCTTGAGATAACATGTGGCTGCTTATTGTTATACTTTTAATTAGCACCTTAATATGTATAGTCATGTTCGCAAAATAAATTATTTGATTTGATTTATTTACTATAGTACTAATTTGATAAAAAAATAAACTAATAGTATGAGCGGCCTTCAGCGCCATGTAAATATTTGTCCAAAAGTAGACCATTTGTTTTCGCCTACCACCATTTTATTACACAATATTACCTGAACGCCGGATGAATTTTCTTCACACCGCTTTCCTCTAACTGCTGCTGAGTAAATCCTGACTTCACCAGCTCATCGTATCTGTCGTGTCGTAACAACCTTGTTCCATCATGTAACTGAAGCTCTCTGTCGTGTACTAATCTATAATTGAAATAAACATAACCAGGATTTATAGACCACAGGTCTACTAATTTAAAGAATTATAGAGTATTAGGCGATATTGTTTGTTCTGCGGTTAGGAAAAAGTTCAGAAGGAAATAGTGGGTAGTAAATTACTATTCTTAAAATTTCGTTAATTGAGTGCCAGCAACGAGGGTGTTCAATAGTGTAGAATCAGTTACATAGTAATTAAAGTAATAAAAGGCTCATTTTGACAAGTAATTTAAACACATAACATCCGCATCCAACAAAGAGTATTCATTGAATAAAAAAAAACATAGTTGTTATGAAAATAGAATTTCTAATAATTAAAAAAACAAAGTATCTTTTCCTAAAATAATTATAAATGCAAATAGTTTACGATATATAAGCATTACTACTCCAATTCCAGCCATTTGTGGATTAGATAATGTCTGTAAAACACGGTACATATATACTACACTACCAAGTAAGAAAGACATTGCACAGAAAACTGCTAACCAAAGTATGAAGGTAGGATAAAAACAAAATCATTATAGATACGCAAAGAATCTCACCTGTGCAATACAGCCAGAGTACTTGCATGTATTCTGTGTAATCCATCTAATACAGCCATGTGTCCTTTTAGCGCAGCGTCAACTAACGCGGAGTTCCTCCACACCGTGTCTCCATTGTCAAGGGTCGTTCGTTGTTGTACAAGATCTCTAGCAGTCATATCTTGGTATAGAACAATAGGCTCTATTGTGTAGCCAAATAAAGCTGCAAGTTGAGAGACTATAAGGCTTTTGCCGCAGCCTTTTGGACCTGGGGGGATGAAAGTGATATTTTATAAATATATATTTCAAAGACGGTAATTTGATCATTACCTGCAACTGAAGACACCGAGATAGTACCTCACAGAATCAATGTAGTGCTTCGAACCGCTTGGTTTTTTATATGTGAACTTCACAATCGTGACGTAGTATAGTAAGTATGTAAGTGTAAGTAAAAACGAATTATTTTTTTAAGTTAATAAACAACAAAATTATATTTATAACATTAATGATATATCTTTAATACAGTTGCATACAACGTATTGGAAGATAAAAATCAGTACAGCAGCAATTAACATGGAGCTCACTGGAAAAAGTCCACAAACCCATTGGTAATGGACTACGACTACCCAAGAGTCACAAGTACGTAGACTTCTTTTGGGGTCCTCTAACTCAAAATATTGGAAGGAGGGGTTTTGAGCTCCAGTAACATCACTCGGTGGAAACCTACTAAAGAATTGCTTAATATCGGTTTTCTGTGAGGCCGTGGGATCACCCCGGTCTAGCCAACCCATTTATGCCAAAGCACGGCTCTCCAACGGTTAGAAACATTTTTTTTTTCGCTTTTTGCAGTTACAGCTACATATAGCAAGAAATCTTTTGTTAGATGCCTTAGAAGCGAACGCTAAGAAAAATGTTCTAGTGTAAATTAAATAATAAATTTACTGATTTCTTGACTGTAACATTAACATATCCAATTACTAACGATGATGATAAATTTTCATAAATTTTATTCGCTACTCCTTATTTTTTCACCACTAGTAGTGGTATTTTATCATCAAAAATATTCAAAATAATTTTAAGACAAAAAGAAAATCTGTTCATAATTAGTGACGAAGTTCTGAGGAAACAAATAAAAAAAAAATACTCTGGAAAGAATTTGACAACCTCCTCTTTTTTTAAGTCACTTGAAAAGGATCTAAATACTCACCAACAATACAAAAATCACCAACACTATGGCTAAGCATCAGTTCGTTCAACAATCGACTCTGGTACGCCGTTTTCACTATCCCTTTCTCCCTTACTGCCGTTTTTCGATCGCCACATGGCATCCAAAATTGAGACTTAACACCGTTAATTTCCATAGTAACTTCGGCTTTGTTTCCCTTGAAGTCTATTCCTTTGGAAAATATATCCCATTGAGGACTAGTGTCAATCTTTAGATTGTGGAGTACTGCTTCTACGTTCTTTTTGTGATCTTTTGTTAGAAACAAATTGTAAGGATATAAGAGGTTGATGAGTTTCTGGACCGGTATGTTGGGATTTCGCTCCTGAAACAAAAGAAAAATAGATGTAGAGTATAATACAAACAAAATACAAAGGGAAAGCTAAGTAAAAAATATATTTCATCCAATTTTATATTCATAGAGTACAACAAAGAGAAATTAAGCCATTTCAAATGTTAATTTTATAACGTTTAACTTTAATAGCTTTAACAATTGGTTAAGTTTAATCAACAATTCATAATAAAGAAACATCTACAGTGATTTATTTATTTTCGTTATTTTCTTATTTATAAATATTATTAAGTAATCTTTCTAAACTTAACTATTCCCCTGTCGTCCGTACTATTAGTAGCAGTTAGCGAGAATAAGAAAATACTAAAATTAAGTTCAAAACTGTTTGAGAAGTATTTAGAGAAAATAATGGGCGGCAAACGAAATAAACTAATTCTTAAATAATAACATGCAAAGTTAAACGAAGACGTACATAGTTCCTTATTGCATTTCCTTTTTGCTATGTTGCAATGGGTAGCAATATAACTGAAAACTTTTTTAATCAAGTCCTGCTTTAAATTATCACGACAACTTTCTGTATAACAAACGACCTTGATGTAACAAATACGAATTAATTTGCACCAAACACGATATTTGCGAATTTAATGCGATAATGAACAAAGTTTGCAGACCTTAATCAGAATTAGAAACAGTAATAAATGAAATATTTTAGTATCCCTCCAAGGTCCTTGAACCAAGGAGCTTGATTGCTTTACATTTCGACGAACTACTCGTAATCAATATCATAAAAGCTATCATCAATACTCATACATATCATAAAACAAAGTCCTTTCCACGTCTGTCCGTCTGAGCGAGATCAATAGAACTGAATAGAACGAGGAAAGTTTAGGTGTATATTTGGAGAATGGTATTTGCTTTTTGTGTGAATCGCATTTTGTAAAGATATATCATGATAAGTGGGAGTTTTACTAACATGCGCGTCGCCACGTAAACCAAAACCACAACGAATGCTAGATCATCATCAAATAACATTGCATAAGTAATAGGTATTATACATCAAAATATATGCCAGATCACTTCGCGTAGCTACAAGTTACATTACAGTTATTATCAGAAAGAAATAAACGTTTATTTTGGCAATAACAAAACACATTTGATATTTTTTCACCTTGAGTTATCACCGATGCCAAAAACGGACCCAATTCAGCCTTGTGTCAGATGAAAGCCTGACGCTGGTTTTCAATCGGGCCCAAAATGACCCTATGCGTAAAACCGTTTGCAGAACTTATTTACTACGCCATGTACATACATCATAAAGTTAATAACATATAACAAGACAAATAACAGATAAGCAGATCATGTTAATATACACTATATACACATTAACATAAATCAATAAAGTGTGCACACTCTTTTACTTTGATAAGGTACTTTGCACTAACTTTGCACGAAAACGTTTTCGGTGATTTCGAGGGTCACTGTTGGTAAGCATACTCGCGTTATACTGTCATTAGTGCTACTTACAAAAAGCCATACTTTTCAAATACTTATAAACAATACATACATACCTAAGGAATCACATGTCAAATATGTATTTTAAGTATATTTAATACTTTAACATGCCATTTTAACCTCGTGACCGCCTGCGTACTACACATAGAACATAAAAGAAAAAAAAATCTGCACGTTTTATATGAGTTTTTGATTAGAAAAGTAACACCTAGCGACATTTATTAATTTGTTACGAAGGTAAACAGAAGTCACACGTTGATAGCTGTTTTTTTTTTTGCAAAATGGCACCGAGCAACAGAAGTGTAAACGTGCGCTCGAGCAGAGGTAAGCTTAATCCTGATTTTACGTAATTTTTATCAATTTTATCAAAAAATTTGCACTAATTGCTAGATAAACTAAGTAAAATACAAATTGCAATTGTATTTTTTGAAATAGGGGAAAATCGCGCTTGTCGTGACACGTCACGTTTTATGTCCTCTGGGTAGAACATATTCAGCTATTGAGATAAGGGCGGGCAATTTAACGTCCCATATGTAGAACATTGTCAGATATCAATGGCATATTATTTTTTCTTTATTCAGAAATAAATGTTGAAAATATGTATATTGGACGCCCTGCAAAACTCTGATATTGACTATGATTCTGATGTATCTGATAATGACCCAAATTATCAGCCTCAGGTTGAAAATCGCAACAGAACATTTTACAGAAAAAGTACTTCAGTAGGAGGATCGTCATCGGATGAGCTGCATCCGATGACGATCCTCCTTCACCTGAAGTTGCTCCTTCGCCTGTTTTGTCAGCGAGCTCCATGAGAGATACATTGCGTGTTCGAAGAGGTCGATCTGATAGGGGAGTCCGACGTGGATTACGGATACGAGCAATGACATCAAGTTCATGCGATGGAATACAAAATCAATGGACAGATACTACTTTTGATCCAGAAGTAAGGGAGCCACATTTATACCAAAAAAACTGCGAAGGGTGGCAGAATTTGACGTATGCCGAACAGTACATTGATGACCAGATTTTAGACATTATTGTTGTATCTACAAATAGAACAGAAGTTGGACGCACAGGAAAAACATTGCGTCTTACTAGGAAACAGCTGAAGGTATATTTGGGGATAGTAATGATAATGTCGGCTTTACAATATCCAAAAATTGATATGTATTAAATGCAATGATAGAGAGCCCGGTTGTAGCGAATGCTATGAGCCGATTACGCTTTTATGCTACAAGAACTAGAATAAAATGTGTTTATGATGAAGATATTAGCGAAGAAGACAGAAAAAAAGATAACATTTAGAAAATTCGTCCACTTTTTGAACGCAGTTTACAAGTTTGCTTAGAACAAGTTCGTCTTCAAGATATGTGCGTAGATGAAATGATTATTCCATTTTCTGGACAATGTCATATGCGGCAGTACTAAATCGAACCCGCTAGGGTTAAAAGTGTTTGTACTAGCTACTCCAGATGGATTTGTTTGCGACATGATTATGTACCAAAGAGATACTACTGTTCCAGACTTGATAGGTCAAGGATTTGGTATAGGCGATGCAATGGTTTTATACCTCACACGTTCTCTATTACCTGGACATCGATTGTACTTTGACCGTTATTTTACCAGCGTAAAACTGTGTGAAGAACTCATGAATCGAGGTATTTATGGAACTGGCAGTATTAAAAGGAACAGAATTCCAAAAGACTACGTTTTTACGGATGAAAAAGAATTCAAAAAGAAACCTCGAATTTATTTTTGACTGAAAATGTTAACTCTATCATAAACAAAGTTTAATGTCTGTTGTTTTTGATACAAAATTTTAATTTGTAGGACAGTTTTGTACTTTTAAGAATATTTTTAGAAATAAATGAGACTGCTATTATAGTAATTAAAATGTTTTATTTTTCCCTTAAAAATTAAATAAGTTTTAATTGAATAATTTACATAAATAAATTAATATTCTTGTATGTTCTATGTGTAGTACAACCCAATTATAATTAATTTGTCCTATGCATAGAACGTAGTGAAAATCCAAAATTTTCACGTTGGATTTTTTTATCTCTAATTTTCTATGTATTCTTGGACCCTAAGTAGGAAACAGTAAATTTTTTTTAAACGAATTCCATAAATTCAACTTTCTGTAGTCAGGAGGTTAAGACTTCATATAGTTGTAATTGTCTGAACACACACATAACTAATTTATACCGTAAGATATGGAAAACACCGTAAAATACCTTAAATGTAAATTAAAATTAGCGTAAATATCATCAGTAAGCAAACAAACAACTACCCCTTTCGTATTATTTAATTAGTGTTCTGTTCAGCGATCATCCCCTATAATCTTGCGACTTGCCTCCATAATTTCCCAGCGGATTATTTTATTCTAATTATAAAAATACCTAGTATTTACCAAGTCTCATGTTTTCGAACTATTGAAAACAGAACTTGAAAAATGCCATTTCTTTCCTAAAACAAACAAAACTACACTAGTACAAAACTAACAAGCAGTAAATTTAGACACTCAGTCTTCCTAGCCATCTTGACCTTGTCATGTAGGTAGGTGATGAGGATATCGCGTGATCCCACGTAGGACTGGGACTGGCGATCAAGTTTTGTATGCCGAATATAATTTGTTTAAAACTATTTGTAACTTATTTACAAATTGCTTTAGCTGTCAATGTCACAGCTTTAGAAATCGTTGTCGATTAGTTTTAGGAACTCATCCTAAAACTAATCGACAAAAATAAATAAATAAAATAAACTTTCTCGTACTTACCAATATAAGTGCTGCGGCTTGAAGGCTGTCGACGGGGAAGTCAGGCAAGCTAACCTGTTGCAGCTCAGGGCTGATGAGCGCGTACGCAGCCGACATGACTTGTTCAAGCTTTACAGAATCCACTTTAGGTGCCTCTTCTTTTAATAAACCCAAGTGTTCCTGGTAACAAATAAAAAAAAATGTTGTTAACAGACGGTGGCTCGACTCGCAGTAAATCTATATACAAATAAATAAAATTGAATTGTCTGTTTGTAATGTCAAATTAATGAGTTTTTTATGCTTTCACGGTTATTTGCACGATAGCTATGCCTAAAAACATCACTTACATCTATACAAAATTTCATCTAAATCCATTCAGCGGATGACCGCTGGACCAACTTAGATGAAATTTGGTACAAAGATAGTTTGAGTCCCGGGAAAGGGTATAGGATAGTTTTTATTCCAAAAAAACATCTTTTAAGGGGTGAAAAGAGGAGTGGAAGTTTATATGGGAAATCAACAACCGCTAAACCGATTTAGATGAAATTTTGTATCGAGATAGTCTGAGTTGTGGGAAAGAACATAGGATATTTTTACCGCAATAACTGACATACACGCGTGTGGAGCCGCGGGAAAAAACTAGTAACAGACATCGTGAAACACGCAACTAGAATGGAACTTTAAAATTATTGTAACAATACAACATCCATTGTTCCATTAATCAAAAATTTCATCATGTCTTTGTCCAAGGTCTAGTTTTTAGCGCCAAACTTTCGCAGTATTTATTAAAGTTGGTAGCATTTACAACACAAACTAAAAGCCATATAAAAGTAAATCATACGAAGAACAATAAAAAATCAGCGGCACATAATCGTGCGTAGAACAGTAAAAAGTAGTAAATAGTTGATAATAATATTTTATGTTCCAAAGTTACAAAACACGAGTATTTTTTCAATAGGCTAAAACAAAATCCGAGTTTCCTGTGTGGATTAAGAATACGGAATTTCATCACCCATATTCTTCCCGTGTTGTAAGAGCCGATCAAGGCAAGCAAACCCGTCTGGCCAGCGTCATATAGTAGTCCAAAACCTCCTTTCTATGGAGAGGCCCATGTCCAGCAGTGGACTAATAAGGCTGTTGATGGGATGATGATGTGATGTGAAAACGAAATTGTAAACACTGGCACTGAATCGATAAAACTACTGTTTTTTTTTAAAGGCTTTTTCTAAGCTATAGATTTCTATATCATCCGGCCTAAAGTTGACTAGAAGAGAAATGCCCTTGGCATTACGCCGATGTACAAAAGTGCATAAAGTTATATGAATAAATTAAAATAACACTTTATAAATATCCTCTAAACACAGACAAACAGTAGAAAACGCCGCCATGAGATATTTGTGACAGCCTGCCTTATTGATCAGAAATATTAATATGTTCTTTCACAAACAACAATCGCATGGCCCATAAGTAATTACCAGCTATTATTCATTATCATCACCGGTTAATAATATCTATTTCCTTTAACCTGTTAACAGAGTAGTACAACTTTTAAATCAAAATTCAACTTTTAAATCAAAAATTTGTGATTGTCACGTAGAATTTATTTATAATTTTGCTGATAATACAAGCACTTAATTATCAATATTTTATTAAATTTCATTATGAACGTGTCATATATATTTATGTTTGTATAAAATCCTTTTGTATAAAAAAAAAAAGTTGAACCGACTTCAAACAATACTGACAAAGAGCACAAAAATTAAAAAATCATTACAAATCTAAGTGAAAAAACTATATTAAGTACCCTCAATATAACTGGTAACATTATAATAGTAATCGTAACTTCTAGTCTGCTTGAAGTCGGTGCACAAAAGAAGACTTTTGTGTTTTTGAAGTTAAACACTATTGAAACCTTATTCGTTCACTCATTAGTGGGCTAGACAAATTGCTATTAAATTTATTTTAAGAAATTCTCAGCTGACGTATGGACTTTGGAAAGGTGGCTCGGTGATGTTAAAACTTGTCTTTAAATTTTAGATAACAAAAGACTAAAAAAACCGGCCTTATGAGCAGCTGACAAGGCTGAGAATATTATCATCAAAATTTATTTAAAATACTCATGAAGAATATAAAGCTTTTCAACTACACGCGCTCTGAAAAAAATTACTCATTCTAAAGATAGCCCAACCGTTTATGTTTGGAGTTATCGTTTATAGTTTATTCATAACATAAACTTAACGTCTCAAGAAACTAAATGGCGAGACCTGGATAAGAGCACGCAAACGAATACGACGTAATAAAACAGAATGGCAGACCTTCATATCACCTCTATTATTTACCTTTTATATAAATCTTTTTTTGTAACAGGATGGAATAGTGGTTGTTTTGTGTTATGTTGTAAATATTTCTATATAAACATTTTTGTTACAATTCAGGTCCACCGCGTGATAGATGGGGGCAACACATGCGACTTCGACAGCGCCTGGGTATTGCGACCCAGGAATAGGTCTAGGGAGTAGTCCTTGCGACGCGTCAGCGCTCACCTCCACTGTCTACCTAACCATATTTGATATGACCCTAGAGTAGAAAACTCCTTGTGAACCAAACAGTGCAATTTCAATGGAAAAGCATCTGAGTCTATCATCATCAAAACATTAATCAATAAGGCGGGTTTCATATAAAAGACATTTTGATTAGACATGATGACATTCGATTAGTGTGAAAAATAGTTGGCCGCGTTGGTCCTTATGTTTTTTATGGTATAGGGGGTAAGCAAGCAGACGCGGCATCTGATGGCAAGTGACTACTGCCGTCCATCGACACCTACAACAGTCTTTCCCCCCAGAAATAAGGAGAGGGGGAGAGTGTGGACTTGGGTAACCTCACTCATTCACAACGAAAGAACTGCTTAACACCGGTTTTTTGTGTAGCCGTGGTATCACTCCGGTCAAGCCTGGACGGTTTCTCTCCTTTCCATTACTTCGGAATAGACCCCTTTCAAAGAAAAAATATATTTTAAAAATCCGAACATGCATAAAAAACATGAACATCCGAATTGGTAACCTCCTCTTTTTTGAAGGTGGTTAAAAATTATAAAACAGCTATTTTATTTACCGAGAAATAGACGACAAAATTATTACAATAAAAGCTAGCATAGATGAAAGCTTTCTTTTCTACACCTAAGAAGTTATAAACTCGCATACATATCAAAGAACCAATTAACCACAAGCAAACACAGAACATCATCATTACAGACCGTAGCATGTTTCAGCTCTATTACCAAGACCAACACGAAAACAATTTCGCATAATTAATACTGTGGCTATTAATTTTGACGGCTCATTAGTTATAGTAAACTGTTCTTACTTCAAGTATTTCAGAAACGGTAAACGGTAATTTTCTTTTAACTTTTTAAGTTAGAATGCAGGCGTCTACAACAGACAGTGTGTGCAAAGGGTTCACTTTATCAAGTAATGCACCGTAAAAATTAAAATAGTTTTTGAGAATAGTTTGAGTACAATTTTATGCTTATGTAATACATGTAGATAAACATAAACATCTTATTATTACGAGGTACCGACTACAGAAGATAATTAAAGAATTAAAACTAGAGATCAAAAGGCCTATCGTAACAATAGAGTTACGAGTAATAGAATGTATTTCTTTTAAACTCTAGCGTTCCAGATAACGGTAATAATAAGATTACAATATTTGTTTGTAGTAGTTTGTATAATCAAGGGACAACGCAGTATCGATTAAATCTGTGTTTCTATTAGTATTTTAATTAAACTTTTTTTTTAACAAACGTTCACATCAACAAATGGACCTATTAACAATTATGTAGAGACTAAAGATAACCGGTCTCAAAACTTAAGCTTCTACTTTATTGCTGTATTGCTCTCTTACATTTAACGCTGAATAAACACACAAAGCCTCTTTAAAACAACAAAAACTCCTAAAATATCACACACGATTGCGATCTCCAGACCCACAAGTTTCTATATTCGTGTCGGTGCCTTTACTTCGTTGGTACGGCACTTACTTGTGAAATAAATTACGCGCGAAAGCACTAACCTACTCGTATATAGGAGATTGAGATCACTTTCGGTGATAAATTCTATGAGTTTGTTCGTACATACCTAAGTGAATGCTGGCATTGCGGGTGATGTAACTCACAAAGTAACATCGATATTATGTTATGTTGTGTCGATGTTAAGGGTATTTTAATAATTATAATATTATTTATTTATCAAACCTGCGTTCGCATTTTATACAATGGTGGCTTTATCACCTATCTATATTATCTTACGTTGAAAGCTTTTCCTAAAAAAGGCACAAGTCGTAGTCTTCAGGCGTCATACTTATTTTAAAGATAGCCTAAATATCATTACTTAATTGACTTATACGGTTGATTAATGTTATTATACAAATAATTAAAAAAAAACTAGTCTAGTCTAAAAAAAGGGAAAAACTAGTCTTGAAAATGATGACAGAAGTTCAGCAGTGACTGCTGTTGGCAGGCGCCAACAGCAGTCACTGCTGAAAATGTGTGGATTTCTCAAATGCTAATACAGGGACAAGGAGAAAATCTTAGGCATCAGTTCGGTTAGTGTTTAAACCATATTACATGAACATCTTAGAATAAGGAAGCTTTATTGTCGTTGGATACATCGTTTGCTCTGCGGAACGAAAAAAGAAGACCGAGAACATGGATATATCAATATGATCCGGCGTTCCTCGGTATGGGTGTTTCCAGATGGCGGAACATTGGCCAGTTTTTTTTCACGGAGTGGACATCTTGCAAGATCAACACTGGGGAATTGTAAATCTGTCAACTCAGAATAGTACACAACAGTCGCACTGAAAAAAGTTTTCAAAGCTGTGAAGGAGAGACGACCAAAGAGCGGGCACCGGGGAATGATGCTGCACCGACAATGCGTCTGCACACTCTTCCTTCAGAACAAAGGCGTTTATTCAAGAATCTGAAAGCCTACCTCGTCCACCCCACAGCCTCGACTTAGCTCCTTGTGACTTCTTTTTATTCCTTACTATAAAAGATAAGATATAAGGCAAACTTTTTTCAAGTGCCAAAGAAGCCGAAGCTCCCTAGAAATCAT